TGGCAGCTGGAAGTTTGCTGGGGCCCCTTCGGCTGTGGCTCTCAACACTCTACCGCTGAACCACAATCCCAGCCCCTCCAATCCTTTTTATTTTGAGACAGGGTCTTGCCAAGTTTCTGAGGCTGGCCTCAAACTTCTAATCCTCCTGCCTTAGTCTCCTGAGATGCTGGGATTAAGGTGTGTGCCATTGGCCCAGTGAGTCAGGTTCTGAGTAGATTACTTCCTGCTGCTCTGAGAGCTGGTTCTTCTGAATTTGAGCTTCTTTTGGATAGATAATGAGGTGGATGGTTGCTAATAACTTTCCCTTGTTAGTTGTAATTTCAAAGTACTATTTTAGAGAGGATTCTCCCCCTATTATCTTCTGTTTGGAGGAGAAATAGATCTATTTTCATGATTTTTGATGGATATTCAACTACTGAGGAATCCCCTTGTTGGTTTGTAAAGCAATAGCACAGTTTATTTGAAAGAACTCTAAATTAATACCTGGAGACTTACACTCTAGTCCCAGTTCCAGTCAGGATTAGCCACCTGTGTGATCTTGGACAAGTTGTGAACCTGCCTCTACATCTGCCCTATAAACCTTTCAGAACTATGTGAATGAAATGAGGAGTATAAGCAACCACTTTGCGAAATGTAAAGTTTTATTAAAATGTCTAGTCTGGTGGGTTGCTGTGGTGCATACCTGTAATCCCAGTGGCGTGGGAAGCTGAGGCAGGAGGATTGCAAGCTTGAGGCCAACCTAGGCAATTTGGCAAGACCCTGTCTCAAAACAAAATAAAAAAGGCTGGAGATGTCGTTCAGTGGTTCAATCTCTAGTACAAAAAAAAAAAAAAGCCAGATCTTGGGCTTTTGTCCTTTAGGCAATAAGAACATTGAAGGGTTTTAAGCAAAAAAAGGACATGGTCAGATTAAATTTCAGAAAAAGTATTCTGGTAACTTTGTAGTGGGACCAGAACTAATTTAGTATGAAGCTTTTATATACCCTTAGACATAAAATGATGAAGGGCTGAGCTAAAATGTGACTGTAGATTAGAATAGAAGTGAGAGCTGGTTCAATGGTAGAGCACTTGCCTAGGCTTAAGTCCCTAAGTTCAATTCTTACTAGTAAGTGAACAAAAAAAAAAAGGAAGAAAAAAAAAAGAATTGCAAGAATGGAGATGAAACAGAATGATTTTTGGGGTATAAGTCAATAAGACTGGGCTTGGATATTTTGTATACATTCGCAAGAGCCAAGGAGTAGTGGAAAATTACTTTAGATTTCCAGCCCTCCTGTCTAGGTAAATTGTGATGCCACCAATAAATAGGGATATAAGAAGAGGAGCATGGACTGGGATGTAACTTGTTGGTAATGCACTTTTCTAGTACATGCCTGGCTCAGGCCTCCAATACCACAAGGAAAAGAAAATAGCAGATTTGTAGCATGAGAATACATACCCCCGCCAACCCACCAGTTTCTTTTTGAAACTGGTTATTGAACCCAGGGCACTTAACTACTGAGTCACAGTCCCAGGCCTTTATATTTTATTTTGAGGCAGTCTCACAAAGTTGCTCAGAGCATTGCTAAGTTGCTGAAGCTGGCTTTGAACTCATGATCTTCCTGCCTCAGTCTCCTGAGCCACTGGGATTATAGATGTGTGCCACTATGCTCAGGTGATAATCCAATTTTAAACATATTAAAGGTAACTTTAGGATATGTAAATGGAGATGGCTCATATACAGTGTGTATATGAAGTACAGTTTGGTATGTATAGGAGAGGTTAGGGTTAAAGATAGTCATCAGCATGTGGATAGAAATTAAAACCAGTGAATATGAGATAGCTAAAGGAGAGCATGATAGAAAAGAAAATAGAATCAAAGGTAATATACCTTTTAACACCTAGACAGAATACCCAGGAAACCCCAGAGAAAGAAGAAACACTAAAGGTAGGTCAGAGAAGAATGGTATCACAGAAGACAAGGCAAGACAACTTCTTTATCGAGGGTCAGATGCCAGTGAAGATCTGTAAGAGGAGAATTTTGAAGTTTCTATTTGATTTAGCTTAACAATGAGAACAATTTTAATGGAATGGTGAGGTAGGAACCACAGTAATTTGAGAATTGAATGATTGGCAAGAAAGTAGAAACAATAATTATGAATTGGGAAATTTAGATGAGTTTAGAAGGGGAAAAGTGTGAGATACTTAGACTGAGGTAGGTACAGAAAGTTGAAATTTTTTGTAATCTTTGGGAAAGGAACCAACAAGAGACAGAAATGATTGATAGATTGAGGTTCCTAAAAAGGCAAGAAGGGGCTGAGATAGAGCACAAATAGAGAAATTGTCTTAAATAGGATGTCACTTTGGTCCAGAGAGTGGAGGGATTGAGGTCAGGGTGGAAATAGGTATTATATTAGGATTAGAAAAATTAAAGGAGCTGATATCTGATGGCTTTCTCTAATTAGAAGGGAAAGAGATTGTTGGCTTTAGGTGAAATTAGAAACTTGAGAAGTTGAATAATTATATTGTATCAGAAATGATAAAACTCTTCAAGGATAAGTGAAAGGACTGACAAGTCTGGGAGTTGGAAACTATAATTATAGTATTTCTTTATTTGAAATACTTCGGATTAAACCTGGGACCTCACGTATGCTAGATACTAAATCCCTAGTCTTTTTAAATTTGATTTTGAGACAGGGTCTTGTGAAGTCATGATACTGGCCTCAAATTGTGATCCTCCTGCCTCAGTCTTCCAGGTTGCTGGTATTACAGGCATGTGCCACCACACCTTTCTGGAAACTGTAAATTTGGGGATGTAGTGTTGTTTTTTTTTTTTTTTTTAATATTTATTTTTTAGCTGGACACAATATCTTCATTTTATTTTTATGTGATGCTGCGGATCGAACCCAGGGTCTCACACATGCTAGGCGAGCGCTCTACCCCTGAGCCACAACCCCAGCCCGGGATGTAATTTTTCATCTAACAATGTCAGTATCTTTTATGTTCCTAGTTCTTTTCTTCACTATTCACAAGGCAGAGTGTGGTACTTACCTCTGTCCTCCCATCTCTGTTCTGGTTTCAATATAGTCATTCTTGGCAGTAAATTTCAGGTTCATAGCCTTTGAAGGCTCACCTTTGAGATCTCCCTGAAAGTGCAAAAAGCATTTCAGAATTTTTCTGATCCATTTACATAGTCAATGGGAGAGTGTACTATGATCCACTTTTTCTCACAGTGGATCCAGTGGAATGTACCCCTTTTTTGAGTTTTTTGTCTTTGGCTTAGACTTTTGGCCTAGGACCTACTTCTCTCCAGTCCCCTTCTGGGGTTCATACTGAGTCTTCATTTTTATCAGTTCTTTTTACCTTTACTCTCCAGGTCTCCCAGTTTCCCCATCATACAGGACTCCATGCTGAAAGGCAAACTGGGTGTACCAGAGCTACGAGTTGGGCGCCTCATTTAGGATGGCATTTAAGATAGTAATTTCCATGTGCTAAGGTCATCTCAGGGCAGGTGTTCAAGCACACATTCCCCTATCACAATTAGTTTTGCAGTCTTTGGAATTAAATTATTTGCCTTGCCTATTTCCTATTTCTTGACCTTCTCCTTTGCCTGATCTTGCCTAAACCTGTTCTCTTTGATTCTTCAGGATCCTGGGTATGTTCACATCCCAACAATGGAAACATCTGAGCAACGATTTCTTGAAGACCCAGCAGGAGAAGAGGCACAGTTGGTTCAAGGCAAGTGGTACCATCAAGAAGTTCCGAGCTGGCCTCAGCATCTTCTCACCCATCCCCAAGTAAGAACCCCCTTAGCTAATCATCTGTAATCACCTCAGTCTTGTCTTAGCCTCATTCCCATCTTCTGGAATACATGAATTAATTTTTTCTGTCCTCTTTCTTGGTCCTCCAAATTCTGTACCTTTAACTACTAATAACACTCACATGGTTTTGTCCCCTTTGTGTCCTTACTCTTCTGTTCCTAGTCCAATGTTCATACCTCATCCTGTATGTAAAATACAATAATTCTGAGCTCACGGTAATATATTTGGAGATGTGCATGCTGATCTTTCCATCTTGTCTTCCTTTGGTTCTCATCCTTATTCCCTGTCCTAAGGAGGCAGAGTTATGGAATAGGCACCGACTCCTGGCTCTTATGCAAGGGCCCATTGATTTATTATCTAGGCTGGAAATAAATATTGCTCCATTCTTTGACCCTAGATATACATTGTTTCCTTCTTGGTTATCTTCTGATCTTCCCAAAGGCAGACACAAACCTAGGCTTGTAGCTTCTCGGGCACCATATTGACAGTCAGATAGTTAACATTAAGCTCTTCAGGATACAACTACTTCTTGCCAGTGTGTAGCACTTAATCCTTCTCTTTTATGACAGAGAGTAAATGAACAGGTCTCCTCTCCGAGGGATTGTTTCATACCTGGTGTTAATGCCTAGGCTTTGCCTTTACCTCCCTTCCATGTCCCAATCTGAAAAAGGTACAGGTAATGACGTACAAATCAATTCATTTAGTTGGTGTGGTGGTGCATGCCATTCAGCCATTTGGGAGTCTGAGACAGGAGTATTACAAGTTTGAAGCAGCTTCAGCAATTTATCAAGACCCTGTCTCAAAAATAAAAAGACTTTGAGTGTAACTCAGTGGTAGAATGCCCCTGGGTTCAATCCCCAGTACCAAAATATATAAATCCAATAGTGTGATCCACTTTTTCTCACAGTGGATCCAGTGGAATGTACCCCTTTTTGAGTTTTTTGTCTTTGGCTTAGACTTTCGGCCTAGGACCTACTTCTCTCCAGTCCCCTTCTGGGGTTCATACTGAGTCTTCATTTTTATCAGTTCTTTTTACCTTCACTCTCCAGGTCTCCCAGTTTCCCCATCATACAGGACTCCATGCTGAAAGGCAAACTGGGTGTACCAGAGCTACGAGTTGGGCGCCTCATGAATCGTTCCATCTCCTGTACCATGAAGAACCCCAAAGTGGAGGTGTTTGGCTACCCTCCCAGCCCTCAGGCAGGTCTCCTGTGCCCTCAGCACGTGGGCCTCCCTCCCCCAGCACGGACCTCTCCTTTGGTACATGGGCTGGGGAGGATTTGACTTGGGTATCAGGAGGGTGGGATTGGAAATGTGGGAGTGTAGCTTTTCAAAATGGGGTGGGGTTATTAATGTATTATGAGTAGAATGGAACACATTTTTTTAATAGTTGAAACTTAGATCTAAACTGTCTGACTGCCTTCTCTGGTAGTAGGCCATAAAGCAGAGAAACACTGGAGATGGGCAAGTCATGTTTGATTTTATTAGACTGTGGTTAGAACTTGGTAGTTAACTTCTATACTGATCTGTTCCATCTACTTTGGAAAGGATTAAAGACGAGTTAACACTAGTCTAGAATCTTTGGCAAAAAATGTCTTAAAAAGAAAAAATCTCTCCAGCTTTGAGGTTGCTTTTTTTGAAATAGGACTTAGTAATTTTAGGAAAATCCTAGGTGATGGGTCAGTGAGGTCTTTAGAGGCCCCTGCTTCATAAGAGATTTATGAGATCTTGTCTTTTACTTCCACCAGGTCAGTGGTCACTGCAAGAACATTCCCACTCTGGAGTATGGATTCCTTGTCCAGGTAATTAGGTCTAAAGCTTCAGTCCAAACATCTTACTTATTGTCTGACCATATGATCCCCTAAGATCGCACTGCTCTTTTAGTCAGTTAAATATTTCCTGAGTTGCTTTGTTCCCAGAACTATACTAATAAGTATTGAATGGATAAGAGAGAAGATATAGTTCCCAACCTCATGTGTTCTCAGCATGGGTTTAATCCCCAATATTAGGACTAAAACAAACAAACAAAAAACTTACAGAATTATTGGGAACACTTAGGATGGGGTACAAATGTACTGTGAATTTTAAGTATATAAAGTGTTAAGAGAGGTATTGACACTAATTTTTCTTGCAGTCCCCAAATCCCTTGCTTAAGTGATCTTCAGTTTCCTTAAAGATCTTTTTCACTGCTAAGCCAATGCTGATCATTTACATCTTTCAAAAATCTCTTTACTTCTTTGAGCTTTCACTTTTATATCTCTGTTATCTTTTTTCATGTTATTCCTTCCACTGGCCTTCCTCCCCATGTCTGCCTGTTGCAATCAAGGTTCACAAGTGTCTTTTCCTTATAGTCTTCATTACTCCATTGCATGATCCTTTTTGTTTTATGTAACATCTCTGTGTCACATACCACATGTCACAAACCATTGTAAGGAATTTGTTGACATACCACATCTCCCCTATTGGAGTCTAGCATCTGAGACAATCTTTCTTGATAACATAGTCAAAGAGACCTTTTACAGAGCTGAGTACATAGTAGGCATTTAAAAAAACCTGCATTAAATGAATTAGTAAAACCCCTTCCATCTCTGTTACCAGCTCATGTGAAATGGGACAACTTGATTTATTCACAAACAGTATGTTAAGGCATTGCTATGAAAAACATATTAGGATATTTCTGCATGAATTCTCAATTTGTACTACCTTCCCAGCACAGAATTCTTTTTTCTTTTTATTTAGTTTTGAGGGGTGTGTACTGGGGATTTAACCCAGGGGTGCTCTACCACTAAGCTACAGCCCCAGCACATTTTTATGTTTATTTTGAGACAAGGTCTTGCTAACTTGCTGAGAGCTGCCCTAAGTTGCTGAAGCTGGCCTCAAACTTGCAATCCTCCTGTCTCAAAGTTTCCCAGGTTGCTGGGATTAAAGGCATATGTGACCATGCCTGAACCCAGCACAGAATTTTGTTGGTGATTTTGACCAGTGAATTGACTAATTGTCTAGGTAGTTGAAGTGTCTTTTCAGGTCCCCTTGCAATCTTATCTTGGATTGAATACTCACCTATACTAAAGGGCAGTCTGTAGTGAGTACATCTGCTGTTACTAGTTTAATTAGCACTTGCTTATGCTTATAAAATGCTTTCATGAAGATAACCTTACTTTTTGCAATATCCCGATGAGGTGAATAATATCCAACTTTATAAATGAAGGCATAGATTAACTGCCATCCGTAGTTACATTTGATACTAAGTAGTAGAAGTCAATTATTAACTCAGGACTTTAAATCAAAGGTCATGACAGGTTTTATTTTTATAATAATATACAGATTTAGCTCTGAAGTAGAGGCATCAGTTGAAATAAGTGCAATGCCCAAGAATCGATTCTGCTTTAGGCAAATGGCTGGAAGGGAGGAGAATAGCTAGAATAAAGCATAAATTATTTCTTGCATCTAAAAAAATTTTTCTATACTTGTGCGTGAACCTGTAAAATATGTAAACATCTGTTCTCTCTCCAGATCATGAAATATGCAGAGCAGAGGATTCCAACATTGAATGAGTACTGTGTGGTGTGTGATGAGCAGCATGTCTTCCAAAATGGTTCCATGCTCAAGGTATAGGCTCCTACCCTGTGACCTATTTCCTCCGCCAAGACCCCTTCATTTACTTCTCATCTCTCTTTTCTTCCTGGGCCTATGGTAAAGAAGGGATTCTGTCCCCAGAGACTCTAGAATTGCTTTTCTCAGAAAAGAAGTCTAATCATGTTTGGAGAGATGAGGATATGATAATGACCTTGAGGAAATAATTCCCATGCAGCATTTAAAAATAGGAATCAGATATTGACAAGATGATTGGATACAATACTATCCTCTGGTACTCCCAAGTCTAGATGGGTGGATACTCAATTATAAATCATAATATATGTTAAATATATAGAAGAGATACAAACAATGTCATAGAAACTTGGAAGAATTATCTGACTACCTGACAGGTCAGAGAATGGTTCATAGGTAGATGACTTAACTCAAACTTTTTAGTAAGGCATTTTAATTAGATATAATACTTTTTGATGGTTTTCTCCTGATACAAAGGACCCCAAATTTCTACCTTATTCTGCAGTGGTCTAGGGTCAGACCTGTCTCTCCTTATATTTTCTCATTGCATAACTTACACCTATATTGTATTGTTTAATATGTTCATTCAGCCAGCTGTCTGTACTCGTGAACTGTGCGTCTTCTCCTTCTACACACTGGGAGTCATGTCTGGAGCTGCAGAGGAGGTGGCTACTGGAGCAGAGGTATGAGGAGAAGGAAAAGCAGCTGAGGAATTGGGATCAGGAAAGTCAAGGGAACCCAGCAATTTTACTCCTTGGAATTTAACCTCCAAAAATGATTTCTTATGTAAGGATGTTCACTAAGTTATAAAGTTTATAAGAAAAAACGAATACAACACCAACTCATACAAAATTCAGTTAAAGAAATTATGGTATGCCCTTATAGTAGAAATACTCTACACTTATTATTTATGGATAGAAAGATGTAACATATAGTTATATAAAAAAGTAAATATAAAGCTAGGCATGGTAATATGTGCTTGTATTCAGTCTCAGCTGCTTGGGAAGTGGAGTCAGGAGGATTGATTGAGCTCAGGAGTTGCTCATGCTTGGCATTCATGAGGCCCTGGGTTCAATCTTCAGCACAAAAAAAAAATGAAAAGAAAAAACTATTTACATAGTAATAAATATCTGGAAGGATCTACATCAAACTTAATTAGTATTTACTTGTGAGGAAATGAAATTTGTTTGTGGGTGGATGATATTTATCTTTAATAAAAACTTTGTTATTACTTGAATTTTTTCATATTTTTATTACTGAAATCTATATAATCAGTTTGCATTTTCTAATTAAACAGCAGGAAAATATGTTTTTAAAAAGAACAGAATAGAGAAATGTTAGATGCCATGGACTTCAAGAACTGAGCAGTTGTTTAAGCTTTGCTCCTTTTTTCTTTGCCCTAAGGTGGTGGATCTGCTGGTGGCTATGTGTAGGGCAGCTTTGGAATCCCCTAGAAAGAGTATCATCTTTGAGCCTTACCCCTCCGTGGTGGACCCCACTGATCCCAAGACTCTGGCCTTTAACCCTAAGGTACAGTTGCTTGGGGAGAAAGTCAGGGATAAATAACAGAAATAATAAGAGATAGTGGGAGACTATAGACTGCCATTCCAGCATATACAACAGCTTGGATAAGGGACAGAAGAAATGGAACAACTGTTTCTTGGGAACCCTTGAATCCTAGTGTTTAGCTGTTTCAGCTGAGTTCATCAGAAGAAAGGAGAAGAATTCATATTAGTTAAATTATTATGGGAAGAATATAAACTTTGGAGCCAAACATGGATTTTATTTGAAGTTCTGCTGCTCTCTAGTTGAATGGTGTCAGGGATGGCATTAATGTTTTCTTACCTATAAAAGTAGATAGTATTTACTTTGTGGATTGTCATAAAAATGAGAGATAATGTATGTAAAGTACCATATTAGGGTTCTCCAGAGAGAACCTAATATAAATATATATAATAAGAGAATGAAAGAGAGAAAGAAATTTATTATAAGGAATTGCCTCACATAATTACAGAGACTGAGAAGTCCCAACATCCATAGTCAGCATGCTGGAGACTCAAAAAAACCTGTCACATGTATAGTTGCCGTCCCAGACCAGAGGCCTGAGAGTGAGCAGACTCAAGAAGAACCAATTTTGTAGTTCAAATCTAAAGGCAGGAAAGATTGTTATCCCAATTCAAACAGGATGATTACACTATTATTCAATTTGTGGAGTAGGGAAAGGTTAGCCTTTTTGTTTTAGCCTTTTCAAGTCTAGTTACCTGATTGAGATCCACATTAGGAAGGTCAGTCTGCTTTACTCAGTCTGCTGATTCAAGTGTTAATCTGAACTACCCTCACATACCCAGAAATCCTGTTTGATAAAGTGTCTAGACCCATGGTCTAGTCAAGTTGACTCATAAAATTAACCATCACAAATATATAAAACAGGGGCTGGGGATGTGGCTCAAGCGGTAGCGCTCTCGCCTGGCATGCGTGCGGCCCAGGTTCGATCCTCAGCACCACATACAAACAAAGATGTGTCTGCCGAAAACTAAAAAAAATAAATATTAAAAAAATAATAATAATATATATATATATATATATATATATATATATATATATATATGACAATTTATCACTGTTAGTATTATTACTTTGTCAGGCACTATACTAGCTTCTCTACATACATTATTTAATCCTCAAAACATTTCTGTAAGGGTAGTAGGGATTGCTATTTGCATTTGCAAATAGGGGCTGGAGGTTTTGCTTGGTGGTAGAGGGTTTCCGTAGCACTACAAAATTAAAAAAAAAAAAAAAAAGCAAAATACACGCACAACTGAAAAGCCATCATTTTTAAGCAGGGATACTAAGATTCTAAGAGGTTAAGTCACTTACCCTGTTATTTTGAACTAGCATGTGATTCCAGAACTGACATTAAACTTATATTCATTCTATAGCATACAAGTCTTATTTCCTTAAGCCCTCTTAGAGGTCTTTGTACATCCTACTTTGATTTTCTATGCTTTTCTCTCTCCTCTACTTTTCTTCATCTCATTCTTTTCTTCCCATTGATTCTCTACAGAAGAAGAATTATGAGCGGCTTCAGAAAGCTCTGGATAGTGTAATGTCCATCCGGGAGATGACCCAGGTATTCTGCTCTCTATGTTCTCTGCCTGCCCAGTTTAAGTGCCCTATTCTGTTTGTATAATTCATGGGAGTGGGGGTGAAGATTTAGAGAAGCTACTCAAATTCATGTATTTTTTCTGCTATTCCTTCTGTAACCTTCCCAATTCTTGTTCTGTGTTTTATTAGCTCTCTTACTCTTTACTCTTTTCACTCCTAATGTCTTTCTCAATCTTTATCTTTGCTGTTAAATCCTCACAAGTTGTTCAAAATTAATGTTTTTTGAAAATTCTTAGAGAATTAGAGAAATAAGGGAAAGAACTCTGCCCAAGGTTGGGAGGGTGAGGAGGGGGGCTTGGAGGTAAGGAACTAGACCCAGGGGCCTGCATCTTCTGTCCTTCCAGGGGTGGGGCAGCCACATGGAGCAGTGACCATCCTTTGACTCAAGGCTGTTCCTCACCAGATTTCCCCACCCCTCGTCTGCAGTCTCTGCATGAATAGACATTCATTTGTTCTCACATTTACAGGTGGGCCTCTTCTCAGCAAATCCTATATATCACAGTTGAGATTAACACAGAATGTACACTTAGAAGGGATGATTTACTGATCAGAATGACTTTGTTTTATGTAAAGATTTACTACAGGATTCCTTAGCCTAATCTTTCTGGGACATTGATTATATTTATTTTTTGATTTACAATCAGCTTTTTAGGGCTGTAGGAATTGCATAAAATGAGGGAGACCCACCTGCATGTTGTTTTGTAAGCATCTTCAGTCATTCTCATATTTATTTATGAGTCTTCCTAATCTGACTGGGGCTCCTTGAGGGTGGGAACCCCCATGTCCTCTTTTCTCTATGTGGCGTTCAATACCCTTGCCCTGGGTTCTGATGTCAGTCTATGGAAAGTGGGAGGGCTCCCATCTCTCCTGGGAGATAATCTTATGATCATTGTCTTACAGGGCTCATATTTGGAAATCAAGAAGCAGATGGACAAGCTGGACCCCTTGGCTCATCCTCTCCTGCAATGGTATGGATAGAGTGGTTCACCCTTCTTGGGGCAATAGAGAAGGGGGAAGGTTTTAGATATAGAGCCTGCACCCCTTAAAGGTGGTTTCAGTATTCTTCACAAGGTTTTAGGCAGTATGGATTTTTTTTTTTTTTTTTTGGAGTTTTGCTATTGACATATCATGCCCTGACAGAAATTTAGATCCTACATAGAGTTCACAAATTCTTTTTTTAGTGTTCCATGTTTCCTAGGCCGGGGATATAGCTCAGTTGGTAGAGTGCTTGCCTCACATGCATAAGGCCCTGGGTTTAATCCCCAGTACCAAAAAAAAAAAAAAAAAGAAAAAAAATGTTTCCCAAAAGATTTGTTTGTTTTCTTAATTTTTTTTGTTTGTTTTGTTTTGGTACTGGAGTTTGAACCCAGAGATGTTTTACCACTGAGTTATATCCCCAGCCCTTTAAAAAAAAAAAAAAATGTTTACATTTTGAGACAGGGTCTCACTAAGTTGCTGAGGCTGCCCTCAAACTTTTGCTCCTTTTGCCTCAGCCCCCTGAGCCACTTGAATTAAAGTGTGCTCTGCTATACCTGGATTTTTTTTTTTAACATACATACATACATACATTTATTTATTTATTTATTTATGATTCTGAGTATTGAACCCAGTGCCCTGCATGTGCTAGGCAGGTGCTCCACCACTGAGCCACAACCCCAGCCCTGGCTAATTTTTAATTGACAAAAAAAAATTGTCTGTTTCTCATAAAAACATGATGTTTTGAAATAGGTATGCATAGTGGAGTGTCTCAGTAGAGCCAATTACCATACTCATTACCTCACATAGTTATTTTTTATGGTAGTAACACTTAAAATCTACTCTTGGCAATTTTCAATGCATTTTTATTAAATATTGTCGTTACTGATAGGTTTTTGAGTGTTCCTTGCACATAGGAATTAGCTGACTTACTAGTCAGCTAAGTTTCCTGTGCATCCTGAGAGGTCTGTCTATCCTGTCTTCTTTCCTTGTCCCGGCATGTTCCCTGATATTGAATGTCTAGAGTCTGAGGTACTGTTATTATTCACTTCTATTAGCAAAGATTCTGAATATTCCCTACTGCCTGCCCTCCCTGACCATGATTTCTGTTTTGTTTTCTTGACAGCTTTCTTTTTCTTGCTTGCCTTTCTCTTACTAGTCAACCTTTGACATCAGTTCTTCTCAGTGCAACAGCTTCCTCCCTTTTGCCAAAAAGATTGCTCTGAGGGCTGGGGTTGGGGCTCAGTGATAGAATGCTTGCCTAGCTAATGTTAGGCACTGGGTTTGATCCTCAGCACCACATAAAAAATAAATAAATAAAATAAAAGTATTATGTCCATCTGTAACTTAAAAAAAAAAATTAAGAATAAAAATGATTGCCCAGGCATAGGGCTGACATCACAAGTATATGGATGAGGCACAACAAACAAACTGTATTCACTGTAGGAGAGTGCTGTCTTGCTGAGACCTCAATATTTTATGCCTTTGTCCTCTCCTGTTCTGAGTACAGCCTGTGTACAGCCTAGTCTGTCCCTGACTTCTCAGGAAGTTCATTCCAGTTTATTTTGTTTCTTTCTCCAGTTTAGTTCGTAACTTTCTTTTCATTTTCTCCATCTCTGAGAGTCTTCAGCCTTCTCTGAGCTCAGGCAAGATGGCTCCTGAGACCCAGTTCTGAGACTAAATCTCTGGTTTAAGTTGTCACCATTCCTAATTCAGGTCTCTCCTTTTATTTCTCTTTTTTTCTTTCTCTATTTTTAAAAAATAGGTGACTTCTTGTAGGATTCCTTTTGTTCCATCCTTTTCTCTCCCTGGATGTAGTGACCTATTTAATACCCTTTCCTTTCTTTATCCATTGTTTAACTCCCAATAACTAACTGTTCTCTGGACAGTAGGTTCCCTTTTAAAATTTTATACATGAGCATTGTCACTCAAAAGGAATATTCAGATAGTGACCTGGATTTATCACACAATTCAGACAATGCTGTAATTCTTGCTTGTTCTCCCAGGGTCAAAGGAAGACTGTTCAGGATAACCTAACCCTATACTTATTCTATCCTTTTCCTTTTTTCTCTGTTTCTTCCCAGGATCATCTCTAGCAACAGGTCACACATTGTCAAACTACCTCTCAGCAGGGTAAGTGATCATTCTTCCTCTAAACCCTTCAAATTTGTGGTGAAGGGGCAGCAGGGCTTCCAAGCCAGCTGATCACATTAGCCATATTGGCTCTGTATGTCAACATAATCTTCGGGCCTAATCATATTTTCTTTGTTTGGGGTCAGTTTAAGCCTAATTTGTTCCCTATCCCCAACCCTTCCCTCCCTGATCTCCATTTCTGCTCTGTTTTCCTGACCGCACCCCCACCCTGGGCAGCAGCTGAAGTTCATGCACACCTCACACCAGTTCCTCCTGCTGAGCAGCCCTCCTGCCAAGGAGGCTCGGTTCCGGACCGCCAAGAAGCTCTATGGCAGCACCTTTGCCTTCCAGTGAGGAGGGTGGAGGGTGGGCAGCAGTGGGCCGGGGGTGGGGGTGCCTTTGAGGTATGAATTTATGTTACCTGTGTCCCTCAACTAGTTAGCAAATATTTATTAAATGCTGGTAGATGCTGTAGAGGATAAAATGAAACGTGACATGGTTATGTTATCAACTTGTTTATGATACAGTTGAAGAGAAATGATACTTATAAAATGACATAGTTGAAGGAACCAAATGGAAGGGGTGATAGATTTCAAAACTTTGAAAGGAAATCCACAATTTATGCCTAATTGCGGGAGGGAAGAAAGAAAGAAGGTGTAAAAGCTAATTTAGAGGGAGTGGTAGTGTTCTTAAAGTAGTCTGGACTGGAAGGCCCATTTGGAATTAGTAATAAGTTTGACGGGTTTGAGAGAAATTTGTTGAATTTGAATTATCAGAAAAATAGGCAAGTGAAAATGTTGAATCAGCAGTTCAGTATTGAGAGTTAGGATGTGATTAGCTGAAGGCCAGAAGAGAGGATAGGATCGGAAATGCAGATACAGTGTTTAACCACAAACATACATCTACTTGCCTATGACTGTATCCATGTGATGTCCATCTCTAGGTGTGTTTGTGCCAGTCTTAATGTTTCGTGTGGGTAACCATGGGTGGGGATGGCACTCTTGAAAATGCTCTGGGAAACCTTATACCACAAAGAATCATATATTCTACCCTGCTTTGCAGTGGGTCCCACATTGAGAACTGGCATTCAATCCTGCGCAATGGGCTAGTCAATGCATCCTACACCAAACTGCAGGTGAGGCTGTGTCTCTTTCTTTTTTCTCTCCATCTCTACCTACCCCACTAAGTTTTGGGGAAGGCTGCTCTAGAATACTCACATGTTTTTGCCTCCACATCCTGAAGCTTAGTCTGGGGAGCTTCCTTAGAGGGGAAGTTGGAATTATATGTACAGAATGAACGTGGCTATTGTCTATTTGAAGTTGGGCTGTATTTTTTGGTGGTTTTGGGAATGAGAATATACATATAGTTAGGGATGCGGAATTGCTGGTTTCAGCCACTGCGATAGATTCACATTAGATAGAACTTCTCTATTTATGTGGCTATTTAGGAATTGATATGAAGACTTGTTTCTTTACCCTGAGAAACTTCAGAGAATGGTTGTTGTTCCTCCTCCTGGCGACCTCTTCTATAATTCCTGTTGGAATCTGCCTGTATGCCAAGGCTTGGGGATAGGACTGTGGATTTTGAGGGACTGACTCAGTGACTCTACCACTCCCCACTCACCAAGACATTAATATTTAATATATAATAGGCAAGTAGTTTAATCTAAATCCACTTTTCAACCTATCAGTTTTATAAGAGTAGGTGCCTACTGTTAATTTGAATGTATGAGAAGGTAGATGGAGGGACAGAGGTCTGGATAAGCCTTGTGGATGCCTAATATATAGCCATGGGAGGGCCCAGGCTCATATGTTCATCCTGGTGTTTCCCTGCAAGCTGCATGGAGCAGCCTATGGCAAAGGCATCTACCTGAGCCCCATCTCCAGTATTTCCTTTGGATACTCAGGTAAGAAATACTCTCTGGCCACCTTGACTCTATTTACATTGTATCCATTTGTGACAACATGATCTGTGCTGTCATCTTCTTCCCCATTGTGGATATTTGGTCTATGTCAGCTCTCTCCTCAATCATGGACACATAGTCTGTCTCTACTTTCTCTCATTAGAACTTTAAATTCTATTTGAGGTGAGGTCAGATATTGTTAAAAATGGTAGTTTTATTAATTGTAGGAACTTGGGCTCTCAGAATGGGTTAAGGAATAGATGGGAAGTGAAACAAGGGTTTTTGTAGACCATAGTTTTCATGTTGGCAGTTGTGAATTGTATGCATTTGTGCATGTGACTTTATGTGTGAATATACCCAAAGGCTTGAATTCATTTCATTGGCTTATATTTCTGGAGACCTTGTTCTGTCAACCACTTTTTAATAACTGCTCATAATCAAACATTGTTCATAATATACATTGACTACAAGAAAAAGAAATATGTTATTCCAAAGGTTAGACATGAATGAGGTCTAGAGTCTGGTGAAGAAATGAGTCCAGAGTTGTCTAGCTCAGAGATAGGAAAAAGAATATGACTTAGAATTCTTAGCCTTCCAGGTTCATGTCTCAGTTCCTTTTCAGACTGCTTTTGTTCCTTTTTTTTTTGCTTTTGTTCTTGATCAGTATAATCTCTGGATAAAGGATGGCTTTCGTGTAGTTACATGTCAACTGTATGAAGGCAGTTGTACTAGATTCTTTAGATTCTTTGTAGATTATTATTTAGTATCCTGCAGTGATTATAACTATTGTAAAGGTCAGAAAATAAATGACCAGAATCTCAGAACTGGAAAACTCTTGTAACAACTGAGTAAGTCAAAGAAGAAGAAAGGAGATGATGTAGGTAAAAACCAAAATCAATGAGATAAAGCAGATACAGTACATAGGCTGCTTAGAAGAAAGGAGCACAAATAAATATTGCAAACAGAAAAGTAATATAATTCTAGATATAACAGAATTTTAAAAGCTAATAAGAGAATTCTGAGTTGGGCATGGTAGTACACACCCTTAATCCCAGCTACTCTGGAGTTTGAGGCAGGAGGATTCCAAGTTCAAGGCCAGACTTGGCAATTTAGCAAGACCCTGTCCCAAAATAAAATAAAAAGACTTGGGGTATAGCTCAGTGGTATAGTGTTTGCCTAGCATGCATGAAGTCCTGAGTTTGGCACCTATTACTGCAAAACAAACTCTTATAAATTTTATATCAATAATTTGACAACTGACAAAAAAGATGAACTCCTAGAAAAATATAACAATAAAATTGACTCAAAAAGAAATCAAAAGCCTGAGTGGCCATAAAACTATAGAAGAAGTTTACATTTTTCCTCAAAAAAGAAACACACAGCAAGCCTAGATTTTTGCCTGCCTGCCTGCCTGCCTGCCTGCCTTCCTTCCTTCCTTCCTTCCTTCCCAGGGTCTCCATCATGCACAGACCTATACCTCCAAATTCCAGATTGCACAGACCTATACCTCCAAATTCCAGATAGTTTTTTTCTTTCATTATCCTCCTCTTTCTCTACCTCCTTCTTTTTCCTCTTCTTCCTGCTATTCCTCTTCCTCCTCTTTTTAAAAATTCTTTCTTTGTTTTTCAGTTATAGATGGACACAATACCTTTTTTTATTTATATGTGGTGCTGAGGATCAAACCCAGTGCCTCACATGTGCAAGACAAGCACTATACCACTGAGCCACAACCCCAGCTCCTTCCTCCTCTTCTTCCTACTTTTTCTCTTTTCCTTCTTCCTTTTCTTCCTCCTTCTCCTCTTTCTCCTTTTCCTCTTTCTCTTCTTCCTGCTATTCCTCCTCTTGTTCTGGCTCGTTTTTGTAGTGCTGAGGCTTAAACCCAGGGGCACTCTACCACTGGCCTCAAACTTGGGTTCTCCTGCCCCAGTCTCCCAAATTGGTGGGATTACAGGTGTGCACCATCACGTCAAGTTCCCAGATAGTTTTTTTTTTTTTTTTTAGTTTTCGGCAGATACAACATCTTTGTTTGTATGTGTTGCTGAGGATCGAACCCGGGCCGCACGCATGCCAGGCGAGCACGCTACCGCTTGAGCCACATCCCCAGCCCCCCAGATAGTTTTATAAGTAGGTTTTTGTTTTGTTTTGTTTGTACTAGGATTGAACCTGGGCCACTTTGCCATTGAGCTATATCCCCAATCCCTTTTATTTTTTTATTTTGAGACAGTATCTTGCTTATTACTTATTTACTTGGAATCCTCCTGCCTCAGCCTCTCAGGTTGCTAGGATTACAGGCATGTGTTGCTGTATTCAGCTATAAATGAGTCTTAAACCCAACTTTCAGGGACCAAATTATCCTAATCTTATACAAAAGTGTCCCAGAGAATAGAAAAAGATGGAATTACATATCATAAAAGATGAACTTCCATTTGACAAAAACAAAGTACAAACCAGGAGAAGACTCTTGGAATACTTATTACTAGCTGCCACTGCTTGGGAGGCTGAGATAGGAGGATCACAAGTTCAAAGACAGTCTCAACAATGGCAAGGCGCTTAGCAACTCAGTGAGACCCTGTCTCTAATAAAATACAAAATAGGGCTGGGGATGTGACTCAGTGGTTGAGTGCCCCTGACTTTAATCCCTGGTACCAAAAAAAAAAACAAAACAAAACAAAACACATGTTACCACATAAGATTAGTAATAAAAATGGAATTTACAGATTGAGGATGTAAGCTCAGTGTTAGGGCATTTGGGCATGTGTGAAGCCCTGGGTCAGTCCCCAATGCTACAAAAAAAAAAGTGTTTTGTAAAAATTCTTATAAATCAGAAGCAAAAGACAGCCTATTGAAAAAATAGGCAAATGACATAAACAGGCATTTCACTGAAGAAGTATTTCATATTCCAAAATATGAAAAACTGATCACCTACAATTTATGAGAAGTTAAGACCAAAATGACCTATTTAGTACCCATGTGGATTGGCAAGTATTAAGAAATCTGATACTATCTTTTATTGTGTTGACAATTGTGGATCAGCAGAATCTCCTTTAATAGTCTATGGCGATATAAATTGGTGTGACCATTTTAGAAAGCAATTTTTGTGTTATTTCATAAAGCTGAAGAGATTTATCACTGTTGACCCAGCATTTTCATTCCAGCATATGCACACCCAAAGATGTATACAGGAATGTATAAAACAATATTGTTTATAACAGCAAACCTTGGAAACTGCCCCAACGCTCATCAGAATAATGAATAAATACATTCTAGTGTAATATTACAATTAATTGTTATTCAGCAATGAAAATAAATGACAGCATTAGAATGTAACAGCATGGAAAAATCTTAGTAATATGTTGAGTAAAGAAATGAAATTTCCAAAAGACTATATACTGCATAATGCCTTTTTTATATTGTCCCAAAGCAGACAATATTAAACACTGTCTAGGGATATATGTATATGAGATAAAACTAAATAAAAAAGGGAAGAAGAAGGAAAATGAAAGCAAAGGAATAATAACCCTGGATGTACGTCAGTAGAAGAGTGGTTTCCTAGCATGTATGAAAACCTGATTTTGATCCCCAGCACCACAAAATAATAATAACCCAAATCTCAGGAGTGTGGTTACCCTTAGATATAAGTCACTTGGAGTTCTAGTTCTTGGACTTAGTTATTGGATCAGGTCTCTACATATTTATTATCCTGTTATAAACAGTGTTTCATGAAACAAAGGTTGTGAGTAATCCACACAGGGTAACTGCTGATACATATTTATTGAATGTGTGCATGAATCTTATTGTTTTTTGAACAATAAGAGGTTTAAACTTGTCTGAATTCCTCAGTTTTTACCTTTGTCTCATCCTGAGGAGCTCTCTGATTAAGCTCTCATTACTTTCTGAGTAATGAGATTCTTTTGGCTTAGTGCCCAAAGTTTTCCTTCCTGGCCAAGTGTGATGGCACATACTTATAATCTCAACTACTAGGAGGCTAAGGCAGGAGGACTGCAAGTTTGAGGCCAGCCTGGACAACTTAGCAAGACCCCATCTCAAAATGTCTCAAAAAAATAAAAAGAGCTGGGGATGTAGCTTAGTAGTTGAGCACCTTTGGGTTTGATCCCCAGTACCTCAAAAAGAGGAAAAAATATTATTTTTTCTGTTTTCTATTTCCTTTCTTTCCTTCTCTCTTCTCCTAGAGGCCTTTGTTTACCACTAAGTGCCTGAATACTTCTAGTTATCAGATGGAGCCAGGAATCTCTATGGACTTCTTGTCTTTCCTTAACACTTTACTAATTATATATAAACATCCAATATCTCTGTCCTTCTTTCCTCTCAGAAAGTGGTGATTACAGATCCACACTATTGTATGATTTTATTACTGGAGTATAGGTCATCTAGTCCAATTCCTTATTACTTTACAGGTAAGAATGCAGATATGCAGAAAAGTTAGATGAGTTTCTCAAGGTCATATGGCTATGAGTAGCAGAATTAGGACTGGAATCCAAATCTCCTGACATCTAGACCATATTATCACTCTATTGGACTGATAAGGTGGGCTTTGCTTCAAACACTGGGTCTCTGAGATCCCTGTAGGTGTTTGAATGTTATAACTTTGAGTGAGATGTGTGCAAATGTCTTGCTTACCATAGTTATTCTGGCATTTGACCAACTATCTTATGTTTCCTTCTTCTCCATTCTCAAGTTTTTTGGTTTTTTCTTCCTTAGGGTACCTTTAGCCTGGTGACATTGGGTACCCCTTGAAGAGGGAGCAACCATTTGATCAACGGAGCCTTAGATGATTTGGCCACAGTGTGCAGGTTGAAATGAGGGACAATTTGAAAGGAGTTGGTAAACTCCGTCTGTAAGTCTTGTTTGAGGACTTCTGATAAGTGCATACTCTGAACACCAAATATCCAGAGATTATTATAAAAACTATATTCTCAGGGGTTGCTGTTAGACATGGACAGAAAGATCATTGGGTCATTAAGTATAGGACAGTACACAGGATTGGGATGAGACAAGATTTGAGTTATGTTATAAGCCCCATCTCTAAGATCCACTGTAGAAATCAGATTGTTCTTTCTTATCCTCCTGTCTTCTTCCTCTGGACTAGAACTTGAATGGGATTTTGTCTTGGAACCGTGTTGCTGAAATAGCCAGGCTGAGGTAGTCATATTTGGATGCAGAGCTGAACCTTGTTAAGAACAACAGAGATGTAGAAATTGAGGGATGGTAAATATACTCTAGAAGGAAGGAATTGGCAGTTCAAGCTGAGAAGTTTTCATTGTTCTGAGTTTTGTTCAGGCCATGAATCTTTCATGAGACTTTAGTGTGAATGCATGATGAGTTGACATCCTGATCAGTGAAGTATGTCAGTCCAATGGTCATCCCTCCTACTTCTACACCGTGGCTATCACAAAACCAAGAATTGAAGCAGAGTGGAGCTAGTACTAATAGGATGGTGAAATATGAGTTCTGCTATGACTTGTAACTATGGCATCATTTTCGTCTTCGTCAGTCTCCCTCTTTGTCAAACACATGAATACACACACATACTCTTATCCCTACCTGGGCCTGTGATAAAGCTAAGTACAGAAACTGAGGTCCTATCCTAAGGCCAAAAAGATTTGGGAGTAGGGACACAGGCATTGTTTCATGTTTATCTAAAAATTCTGGAATAGTCGATAAAGTTATAAACATTGATTCTTTATTGTGGCGTAAGGATGATGGAGGATTTATGATTTTAGATAATGTGTAAACTAGAAGGAATTGGCACTTCTTTCTCAAGACTTGAGAAAAGAGGTAGGATTCTTCAGTTTAGTTGCCATTATGATCACCTGTGGAAATTTATCATGTAAGTGCTCTGCTTTCTCCTTTTTTTCCTGAATGACTGAACAGAATTTTTTATGTAACTTTGAGACTAGAGCATATCTGAATTGCTCTGGTATTTCCTCTCCATTCATTTCATTCAGCTTGTCATTTGATACTGAGGTATTGATAGCTGATTCTTCTAGTCCCCTAATTCCTGGCTCATTTCCAGTGTTATTCCATTATGAATAAAACCCTTCATAGTTCCCTAGAGTTCTGAGGATAAATTCCAGTTGCCTTAATATGACCTACAAGGGTACTTTACCTTTCCCACATCATTCGTTGCAATTCCTCTGCCATTCTGTACAAACTAAGGCACATGACTTTATTTTTCCTGCAGATTTTCCATATCTATTACTTCTGCCCAGAATACTTGATCCCTTTAACTAACTCTTCTCAGTCCTGTCGTTCTCAGCCTGTCACAAGGACAACTTCTTCAACCCCTGGGTTAGGCAGTTCCCCTTCTCTGGATCACACAGTGCTCTATAATCTCTTCATCACAACCCTTACCATACTGTGTTGTAATTACTTGTTTGTTGCCTGTAATTTCCACCAGACTAAATTCTGTGTGAGCAAATATCTTGTTTTATTTGGTTCTGTATTGCCAAGTGTCTAGCTCAGTACCTGATACATAGTAGGTATTTCAGTAAATATTTGATTAAGGAATCAATGATTGAACAGAGCTTGCTGTTCTGTGACAGGAATGGGAAAAGGACAGCACAGGATGCCCTCCAAGGATGAGCTGGTCCAGAGATATAACAGGATGAATACCATCCCCCAGGTATTATTAGTTGGCTCTTCTGTAAGGAGGTAGGATTCTTCTCTGGGGCTAGTTTAGGTTACAAAGATGGGTGGGGAAAGAGTGGATCTGGGGTGATTTGAAGCTCATTTAAAAGAATCAGGTATGCCTTCAGGTGGACACACTTCCTGAGTAACATGTGGTTTCTTTCCTAAGTGTGAAAGCAGAGATTGAGTTTAGATGAAAATATAAAGATAAGTTGGACACAGTGGCTCATGCATGTAATTCTAGCGACTTGGGAAGCTGAGGTAGGATGACTGCAAGTTCAAAACCTGCCTCCCCAACTTACTGTGAGGCCCTAAGCAACTTAACAAGATAGAGCTCAGTGGTTTTTTTTTTTTTTTTTAAGAATTCCTCCTCTTCTTCTTCTTTTTTTTTTTTTTTTTGTAGTTGGACACAATACCTTTATTTTATTTATTTTTATGTGGTGCTGAGGAGCAAACCCAGCACCTCGAGTGTTCTACCGCTGAGCCACAGCCACAGCCCTGAGTGCCCCTGGTTTAAAAAAAAAAAAAAAAAGTAAAGATGGAAGCTTTGGGCCTATCCAGACTGATTATGGGAAAGCAAACTTTTGGAGGGTGGTTGGAAGCTCAGGAGATCCCTAATCCCTATCCCCATTATCACCAGCTAATGAGCCTGTTCGGGGAAAGCCCTAACAGTATATTTGGTTTTGTTCACCTTTGCCTCCTTCTTTTTCAGACTCGATCCATTCAGTCAAGGTTCCTGCAGAGTCGGAATCTAAATTGTATAGCACTTTGTGAAGGTAGGTAGTTTGTCCAGTCCTAATTTAATTGGTTCCCCAACCTTTATTTCTGATTCATCTTTGATATGTGATCCAGCCAAGGGTGATGTTGAAGCATCATGTCTTCCCTCCCCTACCTGGACTCTGTGCCTTAAGCATCATATCTATAATTTCTGGCCTCCTTCTTCCCAGTGATTACATCTAAGGACCTCCAGAAGCATGGGAACATTTGGGTGTGCCCTGTGTCCGACCATGTCTGCACAAGGTTCTTCTTTGTGTAAGTCTTAATAGGGACCCTGGATAATACTTGAAGAGTGAGGGTGGTGGTACTGGGAAAAGTCCTTTTCCATTATCTGAGACTTGTCTCCTGCTGCATGAGTAGAGCTGGCACTGGGACTTTGACCTTGGAGGATGGGGATGAGTACAGATCACTGGGATCTGTTTAGAGGAAAGCAGATAAGCTGAATCCCTTTCATTTTTAAAAGTAGCAAGGGTTTTAACTTTGTGATGGGGTGTCCACCCTCTGAAATACAGTTCTACTTCTTGGCATTATCCAGGTATTATTCTCCCTTATGCTCACATTCGCCCTGTCTTTGGCAGATATGAGGATGGTCAGGTGGGCGATGCCAACATTAATACTCAGGACCCCAAGATACAGAAGGAAATCATGCGTGTGATCGGAACTCAGGTTTACACAAACTAAGGGGGCCCCAGCCCTCGTACCACCCTGTTCCCCCAGGATCCATCTGCCCTCATTAAAGGGCTCAGGAGCAGCAGGTGAGGCTGCCCTGAGGAATCAAGAGGCCATTGTCAAGGGGCAGGAAAAGGATAGAAGAGACAACCTTCATGGTGGAGACTGACCCAGGAACCATTCCACATTTGATGGCCCAGACTGATTCCAACCCCTGATTTGCCCAATTGACTTCACTCTGTTTGTAAATAAAACAATAAAATGGAAGGTGCTGTGGACTGGATATGATCACTGTGGTCTGAATAGCCTTGGCCCAGAACCTACCCCAAGGTTCCAGAGGGGGTGAGTGGGAAGAGAGGACTATTCCCATAGTCAGGACTATTTGTGTTGTATGAAGTCAAAGCTGAGTCCTTTTAATGTTGTATTCTACAGATCTGTTAGCATTTGTATCAGTGGGTAAAGGTAGAAAATCTATCAGTCATGCAGATGAAACTGAGAATAAAGAATACCATTAGTGATTGTTAATCAAGATTTAAAAGGGCCTTTGAGGCCAGAGTAACTCAGATTTCTAATAAGTGCAGTTTGGGAAGAGCTATATACAGTGACACAAAACTGTAATCTAGCTTCTTAGGAGACTGAGGAAGGAGGATAAATTTCAGTAAGTCAGTAAGACTATCCCAAAATAAAATTTAAAAAAGGACTTGGATTATAGCAGGTGTGGGCCCTGGATTCAATCCCCCAGTATGGAAAACAAAAAAGGTGTGTGTATGTGGGGGTGATAGAAGATTTGCAATGGGAATCTCTGTAGGGAGAAGATGGAACTCACTGAAACAGTTATCTTGAAACAGCTGCCTTCCTTCACTACCTTGGTAATCTTGGAAAATTGGGGTTTTGTTTAAGAAAGGCTGCTGGCCTTTCAAGCTCTACTTCTTAAAGTTCTAAGCATTGCTGAGACATAATGGATGTTTCTGAATATTTTATGAATAATGAATAAAAAATGGGCATATAAGCACAGAAAATGCAAAACACATTTTAAAAGCCTGACTTTACAAAGGTAGATTTTTAAATTCTGTTATAGTTTTTGATTTATAACGCCTATTCTAGACTATGTATTGTCTTTTCATTACCTCTGCTGTACTTTAGAAATACTTTCTTACTTAGATACCCTATGCTCTTTTGGGGATTTTTTTTTTTTTTTTTTTTTTTTTTTTGGTACTGGGATGCTTAACCACTTAGCCACATCCCCAGCCCTTTTTATTTTTTATTTTGAGGCAAGGTCTCACTAAGTTGCTTAGGGCCTCACTGAGTTGCTGAGACTGGCTTTGAACTTGCGATCCTCCTGCCTCATCCTCCTGAGCCACTGGTATTACAGGTATACCCCATTGCTCCTGGCTCTTTACTCCTTCTTGATCAAGACTACTATATTCTAGCCAGGTGTGGTAATGCTCTTCTCTAGTCCCAAGTACTCGGGGGAGACTGAGGCAGAAGGATCACTTGAGTCTGGTTGTAGGCCAGCCTGGGCAAGCCAGTGAGACATATTAACATTTTATATTACTGTGTGTTTGGCATTTGTGAAAGCTCTCACATACATTGGTTCAATTCTCATAACAAGCCTATGTTGCTGTTAGGTGGTATTATTGATATTTTGTAGATGAGCAAACAGAGACACAGAGGACAAGTAATTTACCGTATTCTACAACTAGTGACAACAGCCTGACTCCTAAACTAATATTCTGTGGCTTTCAAGCTTTTACAGATATTTTTTCACTTAATACTGATTAGAAAAGTGGAAGACAGGTTTTCTTTAGAGAGCTTATTTTTTAAAATATTTTTAAAGCATTCTTTTTTTTTTTTTTTTTAACCTTTATTTGTTTATTTTTATGTGGTGCTGAGGATCGAACCCAGTGCCTCACACAAGTTAGGCAAGCGTTCTACCACGGAGCCACAATTCTAGCCCTTCTATAGAGATCTTAATGGGCTAGAGTAAATTGGGCTTTTTTGTTGTTGGTGGTGATGGTTTTTTTTGTTTGTTTTAGTACCGGGGATTGAACTCAGGGGCACTTGACCACTGAGCAGCATCCCCAGCCCTATTTTGTATTTTATTTAGAGATAGAGTCTCATTGAGTTGCTTAGCACCTCACTTTTGTTGAGGCTGGCTTTGAACTCACAATCCTCCTGCCTCAGCCTCCTGAGCTGCTGGGATTACAGGTGTATGCCACCTTGCTCGGCATAAACTGAGTTTTTAACCAATATCCCCAACTCTAGAACCTGAGCTCTTTAACTACGCTTTTACTTCCCTGGAGATTCTCAAAAAGTCCTCAGTGGTGTTCCTGGAACTGGATGTAGGTATGTGGCTACTGACATGGTATAACTACATTTTTGTTCAATTTCAGAATTTGTTAATAGATTTTTCTCAATTGTAAGCATTTCAGCATGTGATATGGCAAGTAGTAGGAAGTGATGGGATAAGAAGGAATGAACTAGAGTATAGCAGAAAAACAAATAACTGAGCTAGCCTCATGGTATCTCTTTAAAAATAGCATATTCATAATCATAATCTTTCTATGCCAATAAAATTATAACAAAGTTAAATAGACCATTTCATAGTGCTTCACAGAAAAGCAGGACTTTGTGGATCTGAGAAGTTTGTAAACCACAGATAATTGTATATGATAAAATTCAAAACATGAGGTAAAACAAGTCCAATTAAAACATGGCAAACACAAGAATGCCTTAATGCCAGGGAAACTTTCTGGAGAGAAACCTTCCCGCAGCCTGGAGGGAATATTGAATAGGGTTTTCCCTTTCCCCAACCTGGTCCTGTCTACCTTGGAGGTGAGGAAACTGGACGTCTGTTAAAGCCAGGTGTGAGCAACAAGGCATCATCGGCCTTCTACCTTTCAAATAGATCTGGGTTCAAACAGCATCACTTCTTTTAGACCTGGACATACTTGGTTAGGGATAGAGGAGGGAAGAGAACTGTTTTCCTCAATTAGTTCCAGTTGAAGAACAGATGGCTGTGATTCTGGACTGAGAATTAAAAAACTGAGTTTAACCTTCTTGTCCTTCCTCTCCTGGTAATTTTCCATTCAGGCTGGGTGTGACCATGACTTAGTTTGTGGTGAGGATGTGGCCATCCACTGGGGAGGAGCCTGCTTGCTTCTTTCATTCTGGCTGGGGAGAGGGAGAAGAATCTGGTGCTGAGTCATGTCTGAGTTACTTTCCAGCTTCTCACAGGAGGATTCTGGATGGAGGTTTGGGGATGTTTCAGATTTTGGTACCAATTTTGGGTACAAAAATTCAATTTTGGAAAAGAAGCTTCATGTATCATACAATGCCTCTAGAGCCTTCTGTCCCCAGGAATAAGGTAGACTTCAGTTCATATAAAGGGTCATTATCCTCCCTGGAGCACAAGACTTTCTACAAATTGAGTTTCAGACCACCCCACCTCACCCCAAGATGGAGCCAGAGATGCCGCCTGTTAAATTAAAGTCATTGCCTATGAAAAATATTTTACGTAGGAGAGAACTCAAAGTCTACTTAATCCTAGCTGTCCTTGGGACAAGTAGGTCAGGTAGCTGGCAGCCAGCTGGCAGCCAGTGTACACAGGCCATAGACAAGAATGGAGAGTGTGTCCAAGGAAAAAAAGAACTGCAGCAGGAGGACTTATGGTGGGGAGGAACCTGATGCCTTTTCTTGTTTTCCAAATCTCAATTGTCCATGTCCCCTTCCTAGTCTTTTTTTCTTTTTTGTCTTTTTTAGTTATAGTTGGACATAATACCTTTATTTTTATGTGGTGCTGAGGATCGAACCCAGAGCCTCACACGTGCTACGTGCTAGGCTCTTGTTCTACCGCTGACTCACAACCCCAGCCCCCCCCTCCCCGCCCTTTCCCCAGTCTTATTACAGTGCCAGGATCTTTCAGGCTTTACCTTCTCCTAGGGTGAAAAGTGACAAAGTATACCCAGGCAGATTGCTTTTGGGGGGTAGGGTCTGTTTACACTTCCACATACATTTTGTCTATACTTGTAAGAATTAAGGAGAGCGCAGGATGTGATCCAAGGGAGCAACTTGGTAGGTAAGTTTAGACTACCCTACAAGTGGTTTCACTTTCCAATAAGTCCTAGCAGTTCTGAGCTACAGAAAGATTGTTGGAAGTTATTAGGCTGACAGTCTCCTTGGCTGAGGCAGTACTCCATTTGACTGAAAAAGGACTCCACAGGCTTCTCCCTGCTTCCAAGTGCTTATGCATTTTACAGGATCCTCAGAAAACCTAGATAAACAATTACAATAAAAACAAAACAAAACAAACTTCCCAGGTGCAGTAGTGCATGCCTGTTATCCCAGCAGCTGGGGAGGCAGGAAGATTGTAGGTTCAAAGCCAGCCTCAGCAATTTAGCAAGGTCCTAAGCAACTTAGCAAGACCCTGTCTCAAAATTTAAAAAATAAAAAGGGCTGCAGATGTAGATCAGATCCAGGTACCAAACAGAACCAAACCTGGGAGTATTCATTTACTCTTCCTTCTTGGAATGGCCCTCCCATACCTTCTCTCTGTCATAACCTGTGTTCCTTGTGTAGCTCAGATCTCTCCTCCATAAAGCCTTCTCTTTTTCACACAGATAGCCTGTTTTCTCTCTCTCTCTCTCTCTCTTTTTTTTTTTTTTGAGAGACAGAATTTTTTAATATTTATTTTTTAGTTTTCGGCGGACACAACATCTTTGTTTGTATGTGGTGCTGAGGATCGAACCCGGGCCGCACGCATGCCAGGCAAGCGTGCTACCGCTTGAGCCACATCCCCAGCCCCACCTGTTTCCCCAACTCCAAAGAGCCAACTTTTTCTTCCTTCTAGGGTTTGTCTGGGAAACTTCTGGTATGCCTGAAGGGATTTAGGATGCCGAGGAGGGCATGGAATAAATATAAAAGTCTACCTGTTCTGGTTCTATTAAGGGCAGATAAAAGTCCAAAATAATACATATTTCTGCTTTAAACCTGACAATAAAGGCTTATGGGCTATCCTGGTTATCTGTTGTTCTGGGAGAAATAACTCTGCTATATCAGGCAGAGACCAAGATGTCACATAATCAGTGAGAAAACCTGTAATCTTACCCTCTTCACCAGGGCCAAAGCTTATCTTTGGGCTTTGGATTGGGTTCAGTATTACTCAACAAGGACTCCCATTAGAGAGTCAAACCATTAAATTCCAGATTCTTGGGGCTGGGGCTGTCGCTCAGTGGTAGAGTGCTTGCCTAGCATGCATGAGGCCCTGGGTTCAATCCTCAGCACCCCATAAAAATAAACAAAATAAAGGCATTCTGTCCATCTACAACTAAAAAAATAAAATAAATTCCAGATTCTGTGGTCAGCAATACAAACAAAATAGGAATCCATACCTCTAGTCCAGTGAACCTAACAGCTCCTCCTCCCATTCTGGCCAGATCAGTGAACACAGTGGAAAGGGTTTGCTCTGGGCTGAAGGGCCTATGTCCTTCTGCAACTTGGTTCCCTGTAGCTCTAGGATTGTTACTTGTGAGTATTCAGAGGGCTGGCTGAGAGAAGGACAAGCTTGAATTCAGAACCATTGTTTTAGCACTGGTGACCAGGACATTTGTTCAAGACTAGTCAATTCCCAGAGAAAGGCATTGAATTGAATTCACTGACATTATACCATCTCATTAGATACCACTCTATGAAGCAAGAATTGTCTTCAACTTTTTTTTTAATCAATGGACCTTTATTTTATAACTATCATATCAAAATCTGCAACTGAAGGGCAATAGCTTGAAATCAGATTAATGCATGTACGCCTCAATCGTGGAAATAAAGCCCTCTTTGGACTGGGAAGGATCTGAATCTCCTCAGGAGCAGGGCTTTATTCCCTTGCAACTTTATGTCTTCTCATCACCTACCTACAAGTAAGGGGACCAGAAAATGTTTACAGGAAAAAATTAAAGGCTTTATTTCGTTACAAATTTACTTGTAGGCTGTCACTTTCTCCTCACAGCTTATCTAATAGGAAGTGCAATGAAGGCCTGTGATTCAGTGCAGTCAAGTGTGTCTGCCTGAGCAGGTCACACCCATTGGGATGATTTTCCAGGAAAAAGGAAAAAAGAATCTAAGAGAACAAACTCCACATTGTCAATTAGACAACATTGTATCTACTGTCAAAACTTGGCTGAATAAAGAATGAAAGCTGTTTCATCTGTAATTGCTCTCATCACTAGTTGTTGAGACCACGACTGCGAAATTCCAAAATGCCTTGTAGAAAATGTAAGGAAAGCTTTAACAATATTGATTTAAACGCACAACTGGGTTGAAAACAAGTGCTGACTCCTGTAGAGATTATTGGCTCTAATGCCCTGACTTGATATTTCCTGATGGTCAGTTTTGCACTAATATCAACACTTTTGATTAGCTTTCTACTCTTTCGCCCTTGTTCTGTAGGGTTCCAGGCCCTACTAAAATATTCATAAGGTCCCAACCTGTCTTTCCTTTTTCCAGAGTTACGCTCCTAATCTAGTTGCGATCCCCTTTTCTTAGGTCTCCCTACTCTGGGTTAGAGCCTGAGCTCCTGAAAAGACGGCTCAAATCATCCACGACTCTAACTACCTAACTTGCCAGTTCAGTCAATTGAGAGTGTGCTGGTGCGGGCACCCGAAGGGGTGGGAAATCCTAGGGTGGGGCCGGACTAACGCTGCCTAGGGACCTATAAACCTGGGCACCGCCCGGGCAGGCCTGAACAGCTAGGGCGGCCTGCGCCAAGCGCCAAGAGAAAAACCCCTGTCCAGTCGCCCAAGTCCACAGCAACAGGTGGCCCAGGCGCCTGGGGGTCTGGGTGGGAGGTATCCGGGGACCCGAGGGCGGGTCCTGCAGTCTCACCACTTCCCTATTGGCCACTGTCGCATGTCAACTCGACTTTTGTATCACGTATCCTTCCGCTACTGAATGTAGTCCTCCCCAAATGGAGAACCTGCCCGTTTAGCCTTCGTCGCATTTCCTTCTGAAGGTGCCTGCGGCCGGCAAGGACGCAGGGGGGCGGGACACAGGCAGCCGGGAGCCGGGATTGGGTGAGGGGTGGGGCTGCGGAGGGATTGCGGCGACGCAGCCTGCATAACCTTGAGGCGAAGGCAGTGGATTCCCGCACAGAAGCTGCGCGTCCAGAGACTTCTGAACCCTTTCTGCTTTACAGCGCACCCGGAGCCGAAGCACGCCGGAGGTGAGCGGGCCGAGAGGCTGGGCCGGCGGTCCCCACTTAGGGTCCATCCGCCCGGCAAGCGCGGAATATGGGCCCTCCAGCTCACTCAGGTCACTCTGACTAGGAACGGCGCAGCATTCCTGGGATCTTGGATCCGGTCGGGGTTGGGAGAGAAAGGCTACTCATGCACGAGGCCTGCTTCTCAAAGACCTCGCTCCCAAAGTCAGACGGGTCCTCCAATCTCCCCCCACCCCCTTATGCAGGTTCCATCTTTTCTTTCTCAGTCTGGCTCCATCCTCGCCTATTATTCTTAATTGGTTCCATCCTTGACTCTCTTTCCCTTCCGCTTGGCTAAGTTCGTCTCTCTTAATCCTAGTTCTTTCGTTTCCCTCATCTTCAGCCTCCGTGTCCCCCGCATTCTGTTGCTTTCCTTGTAACGTCCCCTTGAAACCATTCCTTGGGTTCTTCTCTGTCCGTTCTCCATTCAGGCTTGTCCGCGCTTCCCGCTCCGGTCCCCTCCTCATGGCTGCCCCTCCCCCCTCCATTCTAGTCACGTCCGCTCCTCGGCATCCCTCTTACTCTTTCACGCGGCTTGGGTCCCCGCCCCTCCTCCTCCGTTTCGGTCACGTCCCCGCCCCCTCCATTCTAGTCACGTCCTCGTGCTTCCCCATGGCCTTCCATTGCAATTCTGTCCCGCTTCTCCATCATTGCTGGAGTCCCAGGTCCCAGTACTGGGCGGGCAGTGGGCCAGCGCCCTACGTGCAGTGGTCTGCGGGTGGGCAGAGGCCGGTGAGGATGCCGTGGTAACCCGAGGGGATGCAGCAACTGCGCGGGACGTCGCTAGCGGGTTATGTAATCTGGGTCTGCTCGGCTACAGGAGGGAAGGAACCGGGGCTGTTCTTGTGGCGCGTCCCTTTTTTTGTGCAGCTGGGGGGATTTCTCCGGCGACCTGTGAGGCCCTGGATCTCAGCTTCGGCCCTGCAGGGTGGCCGCGAAGACTCACTCACTCCATCCTGTGGCTGCGGGGCTGCACGTAGCGGCTCTCTCTGGACCCGCCCAAGTTTCTCAGAGGCAGCATCCACTTCCTTAAGCTATGGTTCACAGTTTTTACCAAATGCGCCCGGATGGTAGAAAGCAAAGGCCTCAGCGTAGGGAGAGGGAATGTTACAGGGAAGGTAGGCAATCTGTATTCACTCCAAAGAGGTATGGGTCAAGGGTTGTTGCAGGAAGCGGGTTGAAGACTAGGATTGCTAGAAGGGTCATAACCCATAAAGATCTAATTAGGGAAACAATTTATCACTGATCAGTGCTATAAAAAAGATACGAATTTCCAGCCTGGTGTGCACGCCTGTAATTCCAGCTGCTTGGGAGGCAGGAGGATCACATTCATAGCCAGCCTCAGCAACGGTGAGGCTGTAAGCAACTCAGTGAGACCCTGTCTCTAAATAAAAATACAAAACAGGGATGGGGATGTGGCTCAGTGGTCGAGTTCCCTGATTTCAATGGCTGCGCCCCCCCCCCCCCCCCCAAAAAAAAAAAAAAAGAAAGAAAGAAAGAAAGGAAAGAGTTTCCTAGGAGAGAGAGAAGGTCGTAACCACTCCAAAGTTGGCACACAAGGTTTGAAGAAACAGGAAAGCACCTTCAAGACTGAAAGCTATTTTAAAACTCAGAGGCAGGTCCTTTGGCTGCTTAAACCTAGGGCATCCATCTTGTTCTTTATTCTAAAGTGAGCCTGATATCAAAGACCCAGGCCCGGTGGACGGAGGCATTCTGGAGTTGAAAATGGGCAATTGGAATCAGGTGTAACTACTAAGATGACTGATGGAAGAATTCATCCCCTGGGCCTGTTTGCTGTGGGAAAACTGGGAGTAACATTTTCCTCATGAATGGTGAAAGAGCTGGTTTTTGGGCACATCCCTCCAAGTATGTGGAATTAAGTGTCTAATCTCTAATGAGGTGTCCAGAAGAAATGACGTTCATGTATTATTTTGTTCACTGCACAATTAGTTAATTCACAGTTGACTTGAGGGACTTGAGGGTCTGAACTTGCCATCATTTTCTCCTTGCTATCCCCACACACATGCTTTTTTTTTTTTTTTTTTTATGTTGTACTGAGGATGGAACCCACTGCCTCACATGTGGTAGGGAAGTTCTCTACCACTGAGCTACAACCCCAGCCTCATACAGTTAATCTTTGGGAGTTAGACTGTCTAAATACTAAATAGCTCCTGGAAACAATTCTCCTGAGAGATCTTGGTACAATGTTTACAAAGTACAGTTACTTTGCGCCTCTCTTGGAACAGAAGTTCTTTGGTCTCCTGAGAAAGGATACCTCTAAATAAAGGCAGGGGTGGGGGGGGGGGGGGTCAGCCTATGGTGTGGACTTTAAGGGTAGAAACAAACTTGCGCCATACCAAAACTAAACTCTTTCATTCTGGTCCCTGATTGCTCCAAGGGGGTTTTAGGACTTGCTCAGCTAGCTGTTAGGGTGATGTTAGGATGGGAGGCAGGGGGAAGTCGCCCCCTTTTGGCAGTACTGAGGGTGTGGCCACTTCTTTGGGTACAGAGGAGGTCCTAGGTCAAGACCCCTGGGGCAGCATTGTTAGCAAATAATTTGCCCTCTGGTGGCCAGAGGGTGCTCTTGGTAATGCAGTAGGGGCTGTTCTGTGGGGAAGGGTAATGTAACTCATCACCAGATCTGTGGGGGATGCTGTGTGGGCAAGATGACTCAACCTTTCAAATTGTCTGCTTTTGAGAGAATTCTCTTCCTTGGGTAAGTGGGGAAACTGCATTGCGGTTTTTGCAGGCTTAAAAAATGCCCCCCTCCCCTTTCAATGAGTCAAATAATGAAACAGCATACATTTCCCCAGTTAAAAAATGTCTCATTAAATGCAGAATGGTTGGTCCAGGTGTCACCAGGCTCTCTGTACTGCCCTAAGAGATTAGGTGAAGGGAACTGTGCCCAAGTAATGCAGTCTGAGTCTTCTATGTTGGGCAAGGCAGCCTCCCGTGGGACATGAATAACAAATAATTTCTATGAACGCATTTCTGAGTTATTGTACTTAGCTGAAATATATGGGTATTCATCTCCTGTGTAGTACAGCTGCTTTAATTAGAAGCCTTACATTAGAAATAGTTTTAGTGTTGAATTTATAGTTTTACAAACAGAATTAAGGACTGCATCCCCAGTGACTTCGCACATTTGATAGTTGACTCCAAACAGCAGTTACAGAAGCTGCTTGTCTTTCTTCAATTATTGTGACATTAAGGTGGGGTCACAGGAAAACCCATTTTATTTCTTAAAGCTGTGTATTTCTTAACATTGAGGCAACAAAAGAAATGCGGAAATGGCTTTTGAGCAGGAAAGTAGGAAAAAAACAACTTGCAGCATTTGTAAGTTGTAAACTCACATTACTTAGGTTTTAGTTTGCTTCAGCTTTTATGTAGCAAAGTCAGGATGGCCAAGACTAAAACAGATCAGGTTAGAGGAAAATGACTCATTTGACAATTACCTCAATTTCTGAATCACTCCAAATGCTTAGTCAAATCCTAGTTAACTGGTGTGCCACAAGAATGAGTCGTCCTGTGAGCAGAGTTTTATTGTAACCTTGCTGAGGGTTTCTGTGAGATGTTTATGAGTTTTATTTGATTAAAAACTTAGAGAACATTGAGTTGTCATTTTTAATCAATTGTGGAACAGATGAAAATAGAGCTGATAGAATGTATTAAGACCATTCTTTTTTTTTTATTTTTAGTTGGACACAATACCGTTATTTTATTTATTTATGTGGTGCTGAGGATCTAACCCAGGGCCTCACGTGTGCTAGGTGATCGCTCTTCCCCTGAGCCACATCCCCAGCCCAAGACCATTCTTAATACCATATTAGTTTCTGGAACTCACATTTTACACTATAGCCAGACTTAAACTGAATAATTGAGTAGTCTAATTATTTGGGTCTCTTTTTTTTTTTTTTTTTTTTTTAGTATTTATTTATTTATTTATATTTGGTGCTGAGGCTTGAACCTAGTGCTTCATATTTGCCAGGCAAGCCCTCTAGCACTGAGCCACAACCTCAGCCTTACTTGGGTCTCTTAAAGAAGCTGTTGGGGAGAAGGTGAGCTTGGGCTGGTGGTGGTGTGCAGCCTCTGGCTGACTCTTCCTGCCTCCTGGTGTGGCTACTCAGAGATAGGGGCCCTGGTAGGGCTGCAAAGCAGTGCCATGAGACCACGCCCCTGCAGTGGTTTGTGCCTCTCTGCACGTAGGAGGGAGAGCTGGGCTGCAGTACCTCTGGTGGCCTCTGAGAATCCCCCACATTTTGTCCATAGGCAAAACTCCTGGGAAGCTCTGGTGCCAGCAAGCAGTGTTTGGAATACAGGCTGGGGCTCTGGTGGGGAGATGCCACCACCAGCTCTCTATACTAGGGCACTGAGGTTGCTGATTATAGCATTTCAGAGTATGGACCAGCTTAGGGGAACTCTGCTGGCAAAAAAATTCTCTGAAGGGAATCCCATCCCTTCCAAACATCTTTAATTGACCTACAGTTCATATTTCTTAAACTTTAAACAATGTTTAAACTCTGGAAATTAGTGCAAGAAAATTTGCCTCAGCAGTGTCAGTCATGACACATAAAATACAGAGTCTGTCATATCCATTTTGGAGAGGAGCCCAGGAGTTTTGATTAAGAAGTAGGGAAGTAGAGACTTAAATCCTGCTATCCTACCCTTTGGTAGTTAACATTAGAGAGCAGACTAACAAATATCACTTATCAGCTGGGCAAACATTTTTGAAGTCTGACAATACCAAGTATTAGCAAACATGTGGGAAGGCAGGAACTCACAGTACTGGTTGGTTGAAAGTTGATACAAGGACTGGGGTTGTGGCTCAGTGGTGGAGCGCTCGCCTAGCTCATGCAAGGCTCTGGGTTTGATCCTTAGCACCACATAAAAGTAAATAAACAAAAATAAAGGTATTGTGTCCACTACAACAGCAACCAAAAAAAAAAAAAAAAAAGAAAGAAAGT